AAATCCAGAATTCCTTCAGTGATGAAAGATTATGCCCCAAAAGCACAAGTGGCAAAACTCTCTCGCTCAACAATGAGCACAAAGTACTAGAAATCTCAGGGCAGTGTTCCATTGAGGTCTGTATTGTAGTATCTGTGTTGCAGGGAAGGGAAGAGAAGTTTTAGCCACCACACAAGAAATTAAGTTTAACAAGGAAGCTTTAATTAGCTGTAAAGTTGTGGTCCAGACATTAGGTAATAATTTGATTTCAGTATTAAGATACTTAACCATTTAAATGATAGATCTGATAAATTTGGTAAAATTCTTTAGTTAAAAACAAGTGGACAATCATCTTCTTAGAATCCTCTTTACAATTTATAAGAATTGATTATTTTTAGCGTTCATTTGATCACTCAGCTAATTTGAAGGTGTAATTCTAATCCAATACTGAGACTAATTTGATCTTGATTTGATTGTTGTAATGCTCCATTTTTAGTTTAGTAGTAGTAGTAGCTTAGCTTTGGTGATATGTTTTCTTGATTTTGTAAGTGTTTTAATTAAATTCAAAATAGATACTGAGTTACATTTCTTACAAGAAGCAACATGGGTCCAGAACCTTTGAGGACCTGGCATGGAAACCACCTAGTCAATCTAAAAGCCTGACTAGGGAGGGATAGCTCAGTGGTTTGCGCATCGGCCTGCTAAACCCAAGGTTGTGAGCTCAATCCTTGAGGGGTCACTTAGGGATCTGGGGCAAAATCAGTACTTGGTCCTGCTAGTGAAGGCAGGGGGCTGGACTCAATGACCTTTCAAGGTCCCTTCCGGTTCTAGGAGATAGGATATCTCCATTAATTTATTATTTTTATAATTAATCTTTGTTCTCACCTGCCTTAGCTAACTAAGGCCCCAAACCAGCAATGAACTCTACATGGGCAGAGACTTGATAATAATGGTGCTCTGCTGGGATACAGGGGTCTGCTCATGCAGAGCTTACTGCAAGACTGGAGCCTAAATCACATTACTACCATATTTGCAGTACTACTAAGTCATTCCCTATAGTCAGCATGTGGAAGGATAGGCAACATACTTCAATTGCTGGTTAACCTTATGTAATGATCTAATGGAAACTGGCACATTTTAAGGGCAGCCACTGAATGCTTCGGCTTAGGAGAATATTGAAATGGAATAAGTAGCCAAAATTTGTTCCACCCTTGATATCACACTACATTTTACCATTACTGAAAGAGGAGAAGGGAAATGCTGCGCCGCACTGCAGAACACAGCCACAAAAAATGGAAGGGAAGATGGTGTTAGATAATTGCTTTGGGCCTGATCCAAAGCCCACTCTCATTGACTTCAGTGAGCTTTGACTCAGGACTTTTAATAATCTTTCTCTTCTTTTATTGAGGAAAAGGCTGTGACCTTGGGCATAAATATAGATTCCTTCCCTAGCCACTAAAATTCAGCCAGCTATGAGATGATATATGGTTTAGGGGGGGAAGTGGAGGATACCATATCGAGGGGGATTTTGAAATTGAATTCTAGTGTGTGTGTGTGGGGGGGGGAACAGATTTATGTCTGGAAAGTAAAGGAAGTCCCCCTTCCCCTCCTTTCTATATTCCAGAGCCACTGAGGGTACGTCTATACTTACCCGCTGGTTCGGCGGCAAGCAATCGATCTTCTGGGATCGATTTATCGCGTCTTGTCTAGACGTGATAAATCGATCCCGGAAGTGCTCGCCGTCGACACCGGTAATCCTGCTCTGCGAGAGGAGTAGGCGGAGTCGACAGGGGAGCCTGCCTGCCGCGTGTGGACCCGCGGTAAGTACCTTTAAGTTCGAACTAAGATACTTCGACTTCAGCTACGTTATTCACATAGCTGAAGTTGCGTATCTTAGTTCGAACTGGGGGCTTAGTGTGGCCCAGCCCTTAGTTTCCTGTGTATCTAGAGGTAAGAGGTTTTCAATTAAAAGGGGCCAAATCTTGCACCCTGTGCAAACCCAGTACATTTCAATGCAGGTAAATCACTGCAGAATTTGACCTCCCTCTTCATGATGCCAGTTTAATAGTAACAATAATATAACAAATCTTTAGCCAGTTAGCTCGTTATCAACATGCTCTCCCCTCCCCATGCTTTCCCAGGAACAGTGAATTAAATGAAACCAAAAGGTATCAACCATTTATTCTTAAAAACACTCAACTGTGATTAGAAACTGGAACAACTGCTAATCAAATATTGTTTTTGGAGTCAGTGTCCTACCTAAGTTATTACATCATGTGAATTTAAGATCTGAATGTCACTTCTCTAAATGTGGATTAAAAATTCACTAACAAGAACATGGGTTGAAGCCTGGTATGTGTTTCTTAGTTCCTTCTCAAAAGCTAAGGATACATATTGAAGACTGTAATTAACAAGCCACTAATATAATGCCTGACCTGTTTGGAAGCAAATAATTTTAAAAGACTAAACAACCTGGCTGAACTAAATTCAAAGAGACGAGGCAAGTCCTTTTAAACATTGTTAAATGAAGATTCCCTGGTAGTTTTCATTTCATTTAGGCACTCAAAATAGATTTAGAGTACATACGGTCCAGTAAACAGAGCATTATAAACTAAAGACAGCATTAGTTTTTCCATTGATACATTTACTATGTGTATTTAGAAACTATAATAAAAGTTTTATTAATACCATAGCAAAGCAGATACATCTGCTTTTAAAAGAGCAAAATTATCTCATTTATAAAATGTACAACTATTGGAAATGACCTACCTGTTTTCCGAGGTAGCAGATTTCCTCTGACAAACGATGACAGCTGGTGCATATTTCCCAGTATAATCCACGCTCTCTCTAATGTCCCATAAGTACGGGCTGCTGGCTCTTACACTGAAAATATTCACACCTTTCTTCACCTTTGCCCTAAGAGGAACAAGAGGATATGTCAACAATTAGATACAGAATTTCATTTCCAAGCTGTTACATGGATCTTCATTTTTTTCTCATTACTGGTCCTCTGGAGATGCTACAGCTCATTACAGATGGACCACATTGGTAGGAGGTAAAGGTATAATGGAATTAAACCTCCCCATAGTTTAAAGGAACAGTGTCAAGATAATAATGTTATTGATATAATGGTAAATAGATCTGTGTTCACATTTTCTTCCCATAATACATTAGATCGCTAAAACCAGAAGAATTTTAAAGTTCTACTAGACTTTTTCACCATTTATACTTCTTGATGATATTTATACTACTTTCTCCACGTCATTTTGACAGTGAAACTAGGCTACTCAATTATACTTTTGGCCCTCATTGGTTCTACAGGCCCTGATCCTGCAAACTCTTAGGCACATGCTTATCTTTACACACATGGGTTGTCCGGTTTCAATGGGACTACTTACATGCTACAAAGTTAAGTAAGTACACAAAATTATGCATGTACTTGTTTGCAAGATTGTGGCTTGTTTGCAAGATGGTGATGGGAGTGGTTAAGACTAGAAAGACTAGGCTAGAAAGAGAGACCGAGACACACTTCCTTGTTCTCATGCACTAGCCCAAAGCAGCTGATTTGAGGTTACCAGTGCTGCAGCGAAAATAATTAATTTAGTAATCGGTTTTCTTTCTTTTGCTTTTTAATTTCTGATTTTGTAACCCCTAATTCTCTCTCCTTTCCCCCTGCCCACAAAATCATCTAAATGGGTGCACTAAGCCACATTGGCATTGTCCCTTTTTACTCCAGCTTTATTTCATGCTGGTGAATTGGGAGTTTCCAGTGATGTTATATTTTAGCTTTCAAAGATTTTTTTTTAAATAAAAAACATTGTGGTCAAATATCCCAACACACGAGATGTCA